CACTCAGAAGACACTCAGAAGACACACTCAGAAGACACTCAGAAGACACACTCAGAAGACACACTCAGAAGACACTCAGAAGACACACTCAGAAGACACTCAGAAGACACACTCAGAAGACACACTCAGAAGACACACTCAGAAGACACTCAGAAGACACCTCAGAAGACACTCAGAAGACCACTCAGAAGACACTCAGAAGACACACTCAGAAGACACACTCAGAAGACACTCAGAAGACACTCAGAAGACCACTCAGAAGACACTCAGAAGACACTCAGAAGACACCTCAGAAGACACACTCAGAAGACACTCAGAAGACACACTCAGAAGACACTCAGAAAGACACACTCAGAAGACACTCAGAAGACACTCAGAAGACACACTCAGAAGACACTCAGAAGACACCTCAGAAGACACACTCAGAAGACACTCAGAAGACACACTCAGAAGACACTCAGAAGACACACTCAGAAGACACACTCAGAAGACACTCAGAAGACACTCAGAAGACACTCAGAAGACACACTCAGAAGACACTCAGAAGACACTCAGAAGACACTCAGAAGACACTCAGAAGACACACTCAGAAGACACTCAGAAGACACACTCAGAAGACACACTCAGAAGACACACTCAGAAGACACACTCAGAAGACACTCAGAAGACACACTCAGAAGACACTCAGAAGACACTCAGAAGACACTCAGAAGACACACTCAGAAGACACACTCAGAAGACACACTCAGAAGACACACTCAGAAGACACTCAGAAGACACTCAGAAGACACTCAGAAGACACACTCAGAAGACACTCAGAAGACACTCAGAAGACACACTCAGAAGACACTCAGAAGACACTCAGAAGACACTCAGAAGACACACTCAGAAGACACTCAGAAGACACACTCAGAAGACACTCAGAAGACACTCAGAAGACACTCAGAAGACACACTCAGAAGACACTCAGAAGACACACTCAGAAGACACTCAGTAATGTACACACTCAGAAGACACTCAGAAGACACTCACGAAGACACACTCAGAGACACTCGAAGACACTCAGAAGACACTCAGAAGAGACACTCAGAAGACACTCAGAAGACACTCAGAAGACACTCAGAAGACACTCAGAAGACACTCAGAAGACACACTCAGAAGACACTCAGAAGACACACTCAGAAGACACTCAGAAGACACACTCAGAAGACACTCAGAAGACACTCAGAAGACACTCAGAAGACACACTCAGAAGACACCTCAGAAGACACTCAGAGACACTCAGAAGACACTCAGAAGACACACTCAGAAGACACTAAGAAGACACTCAGAAGACAACTCAGAAGACACTCAGGAAGACACTCAGAAGACAACTCAGAAGACACACTCAGAAGACACTCAGAAGACACTCAGAAGACACTCAGAAGACACTCAGAAGACACTCAGAAGACACTCAGAAGACACTCAGAAGACACACTCAGAAGACACTCAGAAGACACTCAGAAGACACAATCAGAAGACACTCAGAAGACACTCAGAAGACACTCAGAAGACACTCAGAAGACACTCAGAAGACACTCAGAAGACACACTCAGAAAACACTCAGAAGACACTCAGAAGACACTCAGAAGACACTCAGAAGACACACTCAGTAGACACTCAGAAGACACACTCAGAAGACACACTCAGTAGACACACTCAGTAGACACTCAGAAGACACTCAGAAGACACACTCAGTAGACACTCAGAAGACACACTCAGAAGACACACTCAGAAGACACACTCAGAAGACACACTCAGAAGACACACTCAGTAGACACTCAGAAGACACACTCAGAAGATACTCAGAAGACACTCAGAAGACACACTCAGAAGACACTCAGAAAACACTCAGAAGACACACTCAGAAGACACTCAGAAGACACACTCAGAAGACACTCAGAAGACACACTCAGAAGATACTCAGAAGACACTCAGAAGACACACTCAGAAGACACTCAGAAGACACTCAGAAGACACTCAGAAGACACACTCAGAAGATACTCAGAAGACACTCAGAAGACACACTCAGAAGACACTCAGAAGACACTCAGAAGACACACAGAAGACACTCAGAAGACACACTCAGAAGACACTCAGAAGACACTCAGAAGACACACTCAGAAGACACTCAGAAGAGACACTCAGAAGACACTCAGAAGACACACTCAGAAGACACACTCAGAAGACACTCAGAAGACACTCAGAAGACACACTCAGAAGACACTCAGAAGACACACTCAGAAGACACACTCAGAAGACACTCAGAAGACACTCAGAAGACACACTCAGAAGACACTCAGAAGACACTCAGAAGACACTCAGAAGATACTCAGAAGACACTCAGAAGACACTCAGAAGACACACTCAGAAGACACTCAGAAGACACTCAGAAGACACTCAGAAGAACTCAGAAGACACACTCAGAAGACACTCAGACGACACACTCAGAAGACCACTCAGAAGACACTCAGAAGACACTCAGAAGACACACTCAAAAGACACTCAGAAGACACTCTCAGAAAGACACTCAGAAGACACTCAGAAGACAACTCAGAAGGACATCAGAGACACTCAGAGACACTCAGAAGACACTCAGAAGACAACTCAGAAGACACTCAGAAGACACACTCAGAAGGACTACACTTCAGACGGACGACCAACTCAGAAGACACTCAGAAGACACCACTCAGAAGATACTCAGAAGACACTCAGAAGACACTCAGAAGACCACACTCAGAAGATACTCAGAAGACACTCAGAAGACACTCAGAAGACATCAGAAGACACACTCAGAAGACACTCCCAGAAGACACTCAGAAGACACACTCAGAAGACCACTCAGAAGACACATCTCAGAAGACACTCAGAAGACACTCAGCAGCAATAGAAGACCACACTCAGAAGACACTCAGAAGACACTCAGAAGACACACTCAGAAGACACTCAGAAGACCCACTCAGAAGACACTCAGAAGACACCCTCAGAAGACACTCAGAAGACACACTCAGAAGGACACACTCAGAAGACACTCAGAGACACACTCAGAAGACACTCAGAAGACACACTCAGAAGACACTCAGAAGACAACAGATAACCCTGGAATAATCACCTTAAACACCAATGATGTCAACTCTCTTTTTTATTATAACAGGTAAAGCAGAAGTGAGTCAAGTCCCAACTTCATTGATGGATTAAAAGCTCCTTTTCCTTTAGCAGCTAAAAGAACAAGGGAATAAAACAGGAACTGAAGCAGCTGTGAGAGAAACACACAGGCATTCAAACAATAGTCGTCCTTTAAACAACTCTTTAGTCATAATAAAGTGTGTGTGTGTGTGTGTGTGTGTGTGTATGTGTGTGTGTGTGTGTGTGTGTGTGTGTGTGTGTGTGTGTGTGTGTGTGTGTGTTTTACTGCAGACTAAATGTACACAGCTGTCTGTCTGTCACGCAAGTGTGAGTCTCACTCAGAGAAACTACAGCGACTTGTTTTCAGTCTCAGGATGCATCACTGGACACACACACACACACACACACACACACACACACACACACACACACACACACCCCTGTGAAGCATGTCTGTCTGGTTTCACAGTTTCTGAGCTTCTCATAAACTCTTCTCTCCAGATGTTTCTCTCGCTCTCGTTTCCTGACATTTAGGAATGCAGGCGGAGAAGTGAGACTGCACTTTTTACACACACACACACACACACACACACACACACACACACACACACTTGAAAGTGTACCAGTTTGAACTTGTCTGCCAGCTTAACTCAGGAGAATCTGCACACACTAAGAACGTTTTAGGACTTTTGGAAACCACATTTAGTTTGTATTATATATATATTATTATTTACATTTTATACCCATTTTTATTTTGAGGTCACACTGACTGAAGATAAGTCATAGAATCACTTTTAAACATTCAAGATTCAAAGACACACAAAGAACATGCATGAATATATCCGTCTTATTTAATAACTCTCTCTGTGATGCTGTTTGTGGATCTATAGAACATGATACCATTCATTACTCAATATGTGTCTGTATTATTCAAGTTATATAGTGCTCCTAATATCAGGAACAATCTCCCAGAAACCTGCGACACACTTCATTTAAATAAAGACTTGCTTTAATTCTTATTTTTCAAACCGGTCTTATTGTTTGAGCTTGTTGTTGTTTACCGTCTCTAATGCCTCGTGTAAAGCACTCCACAATGGGCTTCATTCATAAACTTGTTGCCTTTAAATGGTCGTAATTTTCTTTTGGCAACTACTGCCCGTCTTATCTTGTGTGTAACTCTGTACACACCTTTATCTGTGCACTGATGTTTGATCACACACACAGCCAACAGGAAGTGTGTGTTCTCCATGCAGGTATATGTAAACACTGGAACCGGTCCATCAGGATCTGCGTCACACACTTCATATTTCCCTAAGTACATATTTACATATTCACACATTCAAATGACTTCCAAAGAACATGTGTAAATATTTAAATGATGACTATACTCACTCATGTACGCTTGTTTTACTGAGTTTCTCATATTAGCATCAAATGATAATGTAAACACTTTCATCGACCAACACGTTTACACATTTCTGTCGTCATGATTCACCTTAAGTTTATAAGTTATACTTCTTCCAGCTTCTCAGATTTAAGGATTTGTTGCTGTTCGGTTCAATACCCCCCAGGCTTCTGCTGAAGGTCATTTAAAACCATTTTCACACAAAATACTCATTATTTCTGGTTCTTCTCTGCATTTCACGCGAGAGGTAAACGGTTAGTTTCAGTTTTAAACCACTGTACATCCTAAAAATGATGCGTACTTTGCATTTCTTAGCATTGAGGATAACACATGTAAGACTTCAGACTCATTGAATGCATTTTAATACCAAATATAGCCTGTTTTCTTAGTGTGTGTGTAGTGAACTATACGATCAGTAAAGACACGTCACTGAGCACTGAAAGATATTTATTAGAAAAGAGGAGCAAAGCATTTTTACAAGCCGATCAGCAGCACTAAGGGCTACGATCAGGATTACCCTGCGATCAATAACAGGCGCTTCTATATCTGCAGCACAGGAGGAAACACTATATACACACACACACAGTTTAACATCAGGGACTGGTGGAGGGGTCGAGGCCCCTTCTGGACTTGAAGCTCTTGAGACGGGGAATTCGCTGAAGCCGAGGGAACGTCGTGATGTCTGGACTACAAAACAAACCGTTAGTGCAGAGGTGCATTGTGGGGGCTGAGGGGCCTTCACCCGACTGCCCCCAGACCCTTTGACTTCTAATCTGTTATTTCCTGCACTATATATATTTAAGTTGCATTGTTGGAGGACCCTGGGACTTCTGTACCTTCTGAGGAACCCTTTGTAACGATGGATATAAACCCGGCCTCTCTTCACGGAGCCTTGCTCTTGTTCCGGCGCCTGCGGACCTCCTCCATCAGCTCCTTCAGGTAATTGATCTCCCGGCTGATGGCCTCCGCTCTCTCCTCCAGAGCTTCGTTCTTCTTCATCAGCTCCTCGCACTCCTCGCTCACAAGGTCCTGCTCCACCCGCTTCTTCTGCCGGTAACGAGTGGCCGCCGTCTTGTTCTGCTCCATCTTCTTCAGCTTCTTCTCCACCACTTTGGGAGCGCCGGACACCGATTTCATTTTGATGGAGATGGAGGAAGAGGAAGAGGAGGAAGGTTCTGGTTTTTTAGAGTACGGCTTGGTCCTGGAGGAAGAGGGAAGCGTTGGAGTTGGAGGAGAAGAAAGGAGGCGAGGGGGGGAGTCGGTGAAGGACTCGATGCCTGAGTCGCTCTCACAGTCGCTGGATGGAGGAGAGGTTTTGATTGGCTGATCGGGGAGAGCGTTCACTACCAACATGTGGCCTGAGGGGGGAGGAGAGGGGAGTACAACGGGGGAGGAGAGGACATCCAGGACGTCCACTTCACTCCCCAGTTCCAGGGTGAAAGCAGGGGAGGGGGGCTCGGATTTCAGCACCACCTCCTTATCCTCCTCCAGGGGGAGATCCAGAGGGAGAGGGGGGAGACCCAGAGGCAGAGGGGGGAGACCCAGAGGCAGAGGGGGGAGACCCAGAGGCAGAGGGGGGAGATCCAAAGGCAGAGGGGGGAGATCCAGAGGCAGAGGGGGGAGAGGGAGGGAGGAGTGGAAGGCGTCCAGGTCCAGGTCCATGTGGGGGTCCAGGGAGGCCAGCAGCTCCTCGGGGGAGTCGTCAGAGCCAATCAGAGACTCCAGGTCCAAATCACTCAGGTCAATTTTCTCCGACATCCAGTCCATGCCAGCGAACGCATCGTCTGCCGAGAGAGAGGAGAGTCCTTTAGTTTATACATAACCACATGAATATATGCGTTAGCCGACGTTTAAGACTATTTCAACCTTTTTAGGAAATGACCCGCAGAAAACCTGTCCAAACCAATCTATGAAATATCAAACATTGATTTGACGGGCGTCTTAGATTGATCACTGAAATGCTAAAGTAATGGAATCTGTTTGACATTCTATAACGACCCTCAAACGTTAATTACAATGTGAGTCTCACACCCGTTGACTTTAACAGACGCCAAGAACCACAATCATTACAGCTAAGAGAACACGTCACTGAGAAACGCCACATTGAACTAAACCAGTTTGACACACACACCCAGAGAGAGAGAGACAAACACACACACACACACACAGAGACACAAACACACACAGAGAGAGAGAAACACACACAGAGACACAGAAACACACACAGAGACACACTCACAGAGAGAGAGACACACTCACAGAGAGAGAGACACACTCACAGAGAGAGAGACACACTCACAGAGAGAGAGACACACTCAGAGAGAGAGACACACTCAGAGAGAGAGACACACTCACAGAGAGAGAGACACACTCACAGAGAGAGAGACACACTCACAGAGAGAGAGACACACTCACAGAGAGAGAGACACACTCACAGAGAGAGAGACACACTCAGAGAGAGAGACACACTCACAGAGAGAGAGACACACTCACAGAGAGAGAGACACACTCAGAGAGAGAGAGACACACTCAGAGAGAGAGAGACACACTCAGAGAGAGAGACACACTCAGAGAGAGAGAGACACACTCAGAGAGAGAGAGACACACTCAGAGAGAGAGACACACTCAGAGAGAGAGACACACACTCAGAGAGAGAGAGACACACTCACAGAGAGAGAGACACAATCAGAGAGAGAGAGACACACTCAGAGAGAGAGACACACTCAGAGAGAGAGACACACACTCAGAGAGAAAGAGACACACTCACAGAGAGAGAGACACACTCACAGAGAGAGAGACACACTCAGAGAGAGAGACACACTCAGAGAGAGACACACACACTCAGAGAGAGACACACTCAGAGAGAGAGAGACACACTCAGAGAGAGAGACACACACTCAGAGAGAGACACACTCAGAGAGAGAGAGACACACTCAGAGAGAGAGACACACACTCAGAGAGAAAGAGACACACTCACAGAGAGAGAGACACACTCACAGAGAGAGAGACACACTCAGAGAGAGAGACACACTCAGAGAGAGACACACACACTCAGAGAGAGACACACTCAGAGAGAGACACACACACTCAGACACAGAGAGAGACGCACACACTCAGACACAGAGAGAGACACACTCAGAGAGAGAGAGACACACTCAGAGAGAGAGAGACACACTCAGAGAGAGAGAGACACACTCAGACACAGAGAGAGACACACACACTCAGACACAGAGAGAGACACACTCAGAGAGAGAGACACACTCAGACACAGAGAGAGACACACTCAGAGACACACTCAGAGAGAGAGACACACACTCAGACACAGAGAGAGACACACACACTTAGACACAGAGAGAGACACACTCAGAGAGAGACACACACACACTCAGACACAGAGAGAGACGCACACACTCAGACACAGAGAGAGACACACTCAGAGAGAGAGAGACACACTCAGAGAGAGAGAGACACACTCAGAGAGAGAGAGACACACTCAGACACAGAGAGAGACACACACACTCAGACACAGAGAGAGACACACTCAGAGAGAGAGACACACTCAGACACAGAGAGAGACACACTCAGAGACACACTCAGAGAGAGAGAGACACACTCAGACACAGAGAGAGACGCACACACTCAGACACAGAGAGAGACACACTCAGAGAGAGAGACACACTCAGACACAGAGAGAGACGCACTCAGAGAGAGACACACACACTCAGACACAGAGAGACACACACTCAGACACAGAGAGAGACACACTCAGAGAGAGACACACACACTCAGACACAGAGAGACACACACTCAGACACAGAGAGAGACACACTCAGAGAGAGACACACTCACTCAGACACAGAGAGAGACACACACACTCAGACACAGACAGAGACACACTCACAGAGACACACACTCACAGAGACACACACTCACAGAGACACACACTCACAGAGACACACACTCACAGAGACACACACTCACAGAGACACAGACTCACACAGAGACACAGAGACTCACACAGAGACACAGAGACTCACACAGAGACACACACTCACAGAGACACAGAGACACACACTCACAGAGACACACACACACACACACACACTAACCAATGACTGTTGTTCAAACCAAACACACACCTACTCATTACCGAGGCCTCTCATTGTGTCTGAACTCAGTTTGTACCACGACCTTCAAAAGACTTCCAGCTCAGCTCAGATGGAGGAACGACCCAAAAGAGAGGGACATAGTGACCTTGAGAGCAATTAGCTTTACCATCTGGAGACACCGTTAAACCTTTAGGAGATGTACTGACACCTAACAGCCCGTAAAACATTCACCAGTCTCCTCTCAGCGCGGCTTTCAATGATTTCCACATTACAGCTCACTGAGAGTTTCTAACCTTACTTTCAAATCAGCTTTCATTTAGGTCATGATTAACCCGTCTGTAATCAGTCTCTGTTTATAGACTTCAGTGTTACTAATCTCCTGTTGCCTTTGGGTTTTCTTTGTTAGGAATTAAGGAACAACGTAAGGAAGATTACATTTAAGACTTTTCCTAAATTAATACAAGACCACTTTATAGCATTTTTCCTGCCATCTGGCCATATTTTTTAATTCCACAGTTTTAGTTAAACATGTTATTTTAATATTGTCTTTATATACCGAACCCAATTTCCCACTAGAATAAATGGAGTATTCTGCCTTTTAAACACTTCTTAAATATTGATTGAAGTCATTTGAACACCTAACTAAGAAGACTTTGAGTATCCGGGGGAACCTAGAAGTTAATATAAATATTGTAATAGAAACATAGTAAGCTCATTTACTTACTTTTAGAATAACTGTGATGTGTATCTCCATTTACTGGCTTCCACGTCTTTGCTAAGCTTGGGAACATTGTTGTTGAGAAGATGCTGTTGTTGATAGTTAAACTCTCTGTGCACCAACAGTATGACCTTCACCTTCTGTGAACTGAGAACAGACAGCCTCCCTAAACTCCCAGAATGCTCCTTTCATGATCACCACGCTGCACCCCTCCCTTTTCTCCTCTCTCTGTGTTTAAATATGCAACCCAAACTCTACTCTTGGTCGTTCACTCTGCAGACTGTATGCTTTCTGTCTGACTGAACTTTCTTGCAAGAAATAAAATACGATTTTTGAATTGATTGAATTCATTTTAACACCCAACTAAGAAGACTTTGAGTATCCGGGGAAACCTTGAAGAATATTTACTCTAAATATACATTGAAATGGTCTCTCACCGTTGCAGTGCTCTGCTCCTGTCGGGGCGTGGAGCAGCCAGGGGAGGGGGTCCTCTGAGGCTTTGGTTCCCAGGAACAGGGAGGCGTGGGAGGGGGGAGGAGGGGAGGAAGAGGAGGAGAAAGAGAAAGAGAGGGGGGGCGAAGCTGGAGCTTTCCCCTCTAGAGAGCAGGAGGGAGAGAGAGCTTCTTCATCTTCATCGTCCAGAAGGGGCCCCATGGGGTCAGCCGTCAGAAAGGAGGGCCCTGTGGATGAGGGGCCGTTAACATCTTACTTCCTGAACAATATATTGATTTACTTTGTCGAGCACATGCTGCCTGACGCTCAGCTGGAGTTTTACTATTACAACTTTGAGACTACTCGGGACAGTTTCATCCCACAGGCCACAAGACTGCTAAACACCTGAACTAAGAACATTCATCTGGTTACAACTTATATATATATATACCAATTACTTGTATATAGACTATTCTGCACTATCTCTATTGTATCTGTTTTATTGTGTTGCTCTGTTGGAGGAGCCTGTGACCTAGGGCCGCTCCATTATGGAAAAAATCATAATCCCGATTATTTGGGTCAATAATTGATATCACGATTATTAAAAACGATTATCCATTTACTTTGAAAACATCTATTTATTGAAAAAAAAGATTTGAACAGTATGTTTTTAACAGTTGATTACCCTGAACTTTCAATTCAACTGAAAAACCAATAAAAATAAAAAAAGAATCGTTTTATTTCAATGAAGATCTGAGGCTCCTCCAACAGAGCACAATACAACAGATACAATAGTGCAGGTAAAGAAAACACACTTTCCAGCGTGTTGTTACCCAAACTAAAGGCTCAGTATTAATGAGTGTTCTTGTGGAAACGACACTAACCTAAGTACAGGGCCTCCACGTCCTCCAAGGCCAGGCAGAGCGTCATCGCGGCTGCTCGGGGTTTTCAGGGACAATAGAAATAAAAACGAGTCCGATATCGAGTCGAGGCGGTCGGGCCTGCTGTCGACGGCAGCAAAGCTGAGGGTGATTGCTGGGAGAGACCTGGGGGGAAAAGGAAATTGTTGTATACTTTTTATTAGCAACCCCACACTTTAAATGTTTATTTATTTTATAGGTCTTTTTATTTTTCTTTCTGTTGTACCGATATGTTCACTTTGTTTTTATACGTTATATTGTTGCATCGACTCACTCGTCTTGTGTCTTATCTGTCGGAGAGAAACCATTATTTATTTTATTTGTATTATCACAGCTTCTACCTCCTTGCGTCTCTTAACCTGATCACATGTTATATTCTGCTGCATGGACCTTTTAAAGTTCTTAAATAATCTGAGGGGAATTTCTTGAGTGTTTTTTACTTGTGTCATCTTGTAAAGCACTTCGAGCTGCACGTGCTGTATAAATAAAGCTTTTTTAAGTGTGCACTTTATGGACTTTTGTTTATCTGCAAAGATGATCATATTTATCTCATTTACACAATGAATACTTTTACTTTTGGTACTTTAACTATATTTTGATGATAATACTTTTCTACTTTTACTTGAGTAACATTTTGAATGCAGGACTTTTACTGTAACAGAGTATTCCTACACTCTGGTACTTCTACTTTGCTCAAGTACAAGATCTGAGTACTTCTCCTTTTACTGAAGTACAAGATCTGAGTACTTCTACTTTTACTCAAGTACAAGGTCTGAGTACTTCTCCTTTTACTCAAGTACAAGATCTGAGTACTTCTCCTTTTACTCAAGTACAAGATCTGAGTACTTCTCCTTTTACTCAAGTACAAGGTCTGAGTACTTCTCCTTTTACTCAAGTACAAGGTCTGAGTTCTTCTGCTCAAGTACAAGGTCTGAGTACTTCTACTTTTACTCAAGTACAAGATCTGAGTACTTCTACTTTTACTCAAGTACAAGGTCTGAGTACTTCTACTTTTACTCAAGTACTAGATCTGAGTACTTCTACTTTTACTCAAGTACAAGGTCTGAATACTTCTACTTTTACTAAAGTACAAGGTCTGAGTACTTCTACTTTAACTGAAGTACAAGGTCTGAGTACTTCTACTTTTACTCAAGTACAAGATCCGAGTACTTCTACTTTTACTCAAGTACAAGGTCTGAGTACTTCTACTTTTACTCAAGTACAAGGTCTGAGTACTTCTACTTTTACTCAAGTACAAGGTCTGAGTACTTCTACTTTAACTCAAGTACAAGTACTTTTACTCTGGTCTCGTTAATGCTGTTAGCATGTGGGGGGATGGGAGGCTAATTTTGGGCTAATCCGTTCCTCTGAGGTGACAAAGCTGTGTAGAAAAGAAGAAACGCCCCGCCCTCCACCGGGGGATAACATTGCCTAATTTGGTCATGCTCTGGCCGGTAGCCCCGCCCACCTCATACGTCACCACGAGATGTGGGAGGGTAACCGCCATTTTCACAACAGAGCAGGAAAGACAAAAAAATACAGCACGCCATTTTGGACACGCCACGTTGTCATTTGTTCATTATTCAAACATTACTTGTGTTTTAAATCACTCAAACTGTGTTTTAAATGTGGAATAAAAGATTTTGAATAGGGGGGTTTGACAGTTTAATGTATAGCGAGACGACCGTTAAAGCCTGTCTCGCGAGCGTTCTAACTCCAACTGACAGTTTGTGTAATTTGACACCGACACTCAAAAACAGGAAATATTCACAACATTAATGTCGATATTATTACTTATATTTCCCCTAAATATTTAAATAATTATATCACAAAAAGATAGAAAACTCTGCTTTTTATTTACCCCCATTGTTTCTCACACCACGGATGATTACACTTAGATTTAAATACAAATGCTCCTTTTGTAATTCGGATATTTAAACATTAGAACATCATTTCTTATAATTTATTTTATTCTTTTCAAATATGTTGGGATGCTTTCCAGTATTTAGTTAACTTATAATGAGCAAAATATCCCAGTCTTAACATATGATAGTATAATATATGGCATTGAATTGGATAACAAAACAAACATGAATAATTTGATTATATTGGCAAGATATTTTATACACAAATGTCACTTTCTCAAAATGTCTCCAGTATTTATTGATTTTCCTAAGGACATGAAATTCTACAGTTAAAAATTGTACAAAAAACGTATAAAAGCACAACAACTTTACACATTTCTTAACACCTTTAAACAGTTTTTACCAAGGCAGATTCATCGTTGTGTAAAAACTAAGTTATAATAATAAATACAAGAGAAATACTTCCGGCATGTTGCCAGAAATAGCATCTGTTCTAACTTCAACTGACAGTTTGTAATTTGATACTGACAGTCACAACTGCCAATATATATGAAGATATCAAGAGGAATACTTACGCCATCTTGCCAGAAATAGCCAGTGCACTTTGCCTTTGCACAGCCGGGTTAATGCCGATGCAGGAGAGCCACTGCACGCCGTTACAATGCCATGTTAGCGGGGATAGATTTCACTGAGAGTCGGTGTTCACATTTAAATCTGAATTAACGAAGAGGGTCGGTGTTTGCATTTCAATCTGAATTAACGAAGACTGGAGAACAGAGTGGACGAGGCGGAGGGAGTCACGCTAGTTTATATAGAGCCGAAGCACCGCTGGGTGTATTCCTCCGCGGTATCAGTCCGCGGGGAGCGCTTGATTTCAGTGACAGCGCAGGCGGGCAGTTTGAATCAGTTGATACAAACAATGAATAATAAACGAAATAAAACAAAAGATAAAAAAGGGAAGAAGTTATTTAAATGAAAACAAGAACATTTAAGAAAAAAAGTCCAATAAAAAGAGGGTTTGCCTGCTGATGGTGAAGTATTTCTTATTTTAATTCATGCTTAACTCTTTAGCACACTTTTCACAGGGCAGCAAACACAAACACACCACTGTGATGACGCTGCACGAGTCTGGCCTGTGCTTGGTTGGATTCGTCTACACGGCTGACAAAATAGATCCATATGGAGCTTTAAACCTACACGAGGGCTCCCTTACCTCAGATGTAGGTCAAATGCAAAATGTAAACATTGGGAAAGAAAGGGCTAAAGGCGGACTTTAGGAGATGTTTTATTCGTAATATTGACTCTTATTTTACATTTTATGTCCAAAAAGAGCTTTTCTGTTTATAATATGTAACGAAAATGCAAAGAAAGAATATTAAATAATAATTTATTTGTTTTATTCCAAATTGTAAGCATAATATATTATATTAAAAATAAGAGATAAACTAAACATAAGACGACTATATATATATTATATTTAGTTCTACCTCCAAATGTGTGAATATGTATATTTGTGTCTATGTATGTGTAGTGTCTCTACTTTAAAGAGTCCTCTGCTGCTGATGTTCAGGTGTATATCAGTATGTAGTGTCTCTACTTTAAAGAGTCCTCTCCTGCTGATGGTCATGTGTATATCAGTATGTAGTGTCTATACCTTAAAGAGTCCTCTCCTGCTGATGTTCAGGTGTATATCAGTATGTAGTGTCTCTACTTTAAAGAGTCCTCTCCTGCTGATGGTCATGTGTATATCAGTATGTAGTGTCTCTACTTTAAAGAGTCCTCTCCTGCTGATGTTCAGGTGTATATCAGTATGTAGTGTCTCTACTTTAAAGAGTCCTCTCCTGCTGATGTTCAGGTGTATATCAGTATGTAGTGTCTCTACTTTAAAGAGTCCCCTCCTGCTGATGTTCAGGTGTATATCAGTATGTAGTGTCTCTACTTTAAAGAGTCCTCTCCTGCTGATGTTCAGGTGTATATCAGTATGTAGTGTCTCTACTTTAAAGAGTCCTCTCCTGCTGATGTTCAGGTGTATATCAGTATGTAGTGTCTCTACTTTAAAGAGTCCTCTCCTGCTGATGTTCAGGTGTATATCAGTATGTAGTGTCTCTACTTTAAAGAGTCCTCTCCTGCTGATGTTCAGGTGTATATCAGTATGTAGTGTCTCTACTTTAAAGAGTCCTCTCCTGCTGATGTTCAGGTGTATATCAGTATGTAGTGTCTCTACTTTAAAGAGTCCTCTCCTGCTGATGTTCAGGTGTATATCAGTATGTTTTGTCTCTACTTTAAAGAGTCCTCTCCTGCTGATGGTCAGGTGTATATCAGTATGTAATGTCTCTACTTTAAAGAGTCCTCTCCTGCTGATGTTCAGGTGTATATCAGTATGAAGTGTCTCTACTTTAAAGAGTCCTCTCCTGCTGATGTTCAGGTGTATATCAGTATGTAGTGTCTCTACTTTAAAAAGTCCTCTCCTGCTGATGTTCAGGTGTATATCAGTATGTAATGTCTCTACTTTAAAGAGTCCTCTCCTGTTGATGTTCAGGTGTATATCAGTATGTAGTGTCTCTACTTTAAAGAGTCCTCTCCTGCTGATGTTCAGGTGTATATCAGTATGTAGTGTCTCTACTTTAAAGAGTCCTCTCCTGCTGATGTTCAGGTGTATATCAGTGTGTAGTGTCTCTACTTTAAAGAGTCCTCTCCTGCTGATGTTCAGGTGTATATCAGTATGTAGTGTCTCTACTTTAAAGAGTCCTCTCCTGCTGATGTTCAGGTGTATATCAGTATGTAGTGTCTATACTTTAAAGAGTCCTCTCCTGCTGATGTCCAGGTGTATATCAGTATGTAGTGTCTATACTTTAAAGAGTGTATGTATATATTTGTATTCTCTGGGATAGTGAGAAACTACATTTCGATCTGTGTAACACAAAAAGAGGAATTGACAATAAAGATATCAAACCGTCAAAGGAGGTATTTTATGGAATAACTTTAAAAGTGAAATTCAAACGCACTTCATGGATTAAAAGCAATATTTAATAATCAAAACATATACAGCTGAGTTATATATAAGAGGGTGTACAGGAGTTTTTGTTGGGTCTATTTAATAAGGAGTCTAAACCTGATGAACCCGGCTGTGTCGCCCCCTGGAGTTCATCTGGAGGTATTTCACTATATCCCACTTCAGAACAGAAGAAGTATGAGAAGATAATCACTTCATTTAGATATATAAGAGCACACAGTTGAGTAAACCCTTTCATGCAGAAAGATACAGAGTCCTTATATCTATATAACATATTCAAATATATATATATCAAGGCCACAATTTACAGATTTTGAGCATGAATTTAAAATTGGTCCTCTCAATTAAATACTTTGTGTGCAAAATATAGTAATTAATATAGTATTTAAGGCAAATAATTAATACAATCGGATCAATATTTTGATTAATTTCTGCAAAAGATCAGTGCAAATGTAATGTTTGTATAATTATTGTTATGCTATTTAATGTTAGCTTGTGTTTATTTCAATACTTGTATTCAATTTTATTTTAGGTTTAAGGGGAGATGGAGTTTAACCTGGGATAGAATTTACCTGGGATATAGTTTAGCCCAATTGAATTCAATGTCTTAAGTCTAGACAGGGATGCAAACAAGGTCAAAGGTGACAAGGATCCGAGCCCCCCGACCCCACAGAATATCGGCTTTAAAATGAGGAATAACAGGATGTTAGCAGTCAGAACAACTAAAGCAGTTAATAATAACAGAAACACCAAAGAGTCACATCTAATAGAAATGTATAAAAGCATTTATTTTAATTGTGTAGCAGTCAGTTTATAATTTTGGCAGCACTGTTGAGCATTTTGAAAATGTATTTTCATGCCTCTGTGCAAGGCTTAGTCTTTCTGTCTTTATAGCCAGTGGTGTAAAGTAACTAAGTTCATAAACTCAAGTACTATACCTGGGTACAATTTTGAGATACTTGTACTTTATTTAAGTATTTCAATGTGTTGCTACTTTGTTCTTCTACTCATCTACAGTTCAGAGGTACATGGTGTACTTTTACTCCACTACAGTTCAGAGGTAAATGGTGTACTTTTACTCATCTACAGTTCAGAGGTACATGGTGTACTTCTCCTCCACTACAGCTCAGAGGTACATGGTGTACTTTTACTCCACTACATGTATTTAATACCTTTAGTTACTTTACAGATGTGGATGAATGATGTGAAATATAACCAAGTGTTAAATCAGACTTTAGTTCCACCTGGAGTAAATCCACAAGCTACCCTGCAGTATACAAAGTAATTCAAACTAGCTGCACCTTTACCAGCTTTGAGAACACTTTCATGATCAATCATTATAAAACATATCATATATATTATTCTGAAATGGACCAATCTGCACAATGACTACTTTCACTGTCGCTACTTTCACTATATTTTGATGAGAATACTTTTCTACTTTTACTTGAGGAACATTTTGAATGCAGGACTTCTACTTCTACTTTTACTCAAGTACAAGACCTGAGTACTTCTACTTTTACTCAAGTACAAGACCTGAGTACTTCTACTTTTACTCTAGTACAAGATCTGAGTGCTTCTACTTTTACTCTAGTACAAGATCTATACTTATACCACCTGTTTATAGCCTATGAAAAAAACTATTTGAAAACGAAGGCTAAAGCTAACGTTAGCAGATAGTGACAATGTATGCTAGTTAGCTAGCTCAACGATAATATTGCGACAGGAACACTTTTCAGTGCACATCACGCTCTGCGCTCCGACAGGGAGCTCTGCTCTGAACACCTGAACGGCCCGTTCTAACAGCTGTTCACCAGCGGTCCAGTCTGTGCCACAGTGACTCCGGACCACACAGTTAATATTAACGAACGCACCCGTAGGTAATGTAGCTGCTGAAGCTAGACCCTCATCCCGGAGCAGCAGAGCCTTATTATACATCCATGAGCAGAGCCGACAGATTCGAGCACACAGCTCGCGCTGCATTATAATATATAAAAAAAGAACACCATGCGTGTCATGATGGCACATAACAGCTCGCGGCCGCAGATTACTCCGGGTCCCAGACCCCCCCCATACCCCAAAAATATTTTTATTGCAGATCTCCATGAATCACACAAACGACCTATTTTGGATTCAAAACGGCGAATTTCGCCGAAAGGTGACAAGTTTGCATCCAAATAGATTTAAATAAATAAAGATAAAAGACAATTAAAGAAAAAAGTGCTATCATCCCCCCCACCCCCTCTGGGTCCCTTTTGAGTCTTTTCATCTCCTCCCGCCATTCCTCCACAGTTTTCCCACCGGCAGCCGCACAGTAAGACACACCTGCAATGCGAGTGTGGCCAGTGTCGATCCTCTTGGCCTGGCCACACTTGCTGCAGGTGTACTGACCTGTCTGCTCCCGTCCGTTTTAGCTGCTGTCGGCCTGGTTCTACTCTGGGACTCCTGCACAATATATACCGTCTGCTGCTGAAGAAGTGCCTGATCCTCAGACTTCACTAAAGGAAGTAAACCTGTGAATCTCCCTGGAGGCCTCGGAGCCGGTCGACACAGATTCCTTTCTTTTGTTTTCCTCTTTGCGAACGGTTTCAGGACTCCACTGGGCTTGAATAGCTGCTGGAAGTCGGCCTGGTTGTAGGAGGTTTTGCCTGGTGTTAGGTCTTCCAGTGTGTCCGGGGAGAAACTGAGGCCAGTGGCAGCTTCAGTGATCAGTTTCTGGAAGAGACGCTGAGATCTCTTCAGCTGGATGGAGACACGACAGGAATCCATTACTCCTGATCCAGATCCACAGAGACAGAATATGGTATGATCTTTAGATGATCACCATGTGCTGATTACTAGGAAAATAAGGATGTAATAATGATTAGAGATGTCCCGATCCGATTTTCAAAAGATCGGAATCGGGAGAAAAAAATCGGGGATCGGGATTTAAAAAAAAAAAAAAATTTAATACTTTTTTTTAATTATTTTATTTAATGTTACAAAACAAAAATGACCATGTTCACGTCTTAAAGTCATCCTGAGGCCTTAGTTTTGGTTTAAAATTACACAACATCATGTATGTGTTGCTTCTTTTGGGCTTGTTTTCATAGAGTTGCTTATTTCTCTCAAATCTGGCAACAGAGTGGGCGCAGTGTCTAATAGTAGCAGTAAGCTAACAAGAGGCTACGTTCAGCTGGTGCCTCGGGAGTCGGGACAGAGAAAATGTCAGGAGTTTGGAAGTATTATAAAATTGAAAGCGAAGGCAGTGTAACAGCCAGATGCAATGTTTGCAAGGCGGAGGTTCCGCGTGGTGGAAAGAACAGAGCTACGTTCAACACGACCAATCTAATACAAACACCAACAACAACACGACGAGTACACAGCGGCCACTCAGGTAACGGCACTGAAACAACCGACACTTTCAGAGACTTTTAAAAGGAAAGAGAAACTGCCCCAGAACAGTGAAAAGGCCAAAAACATAACAGCCAAGATAGCTGAATTCATCGCGTTGGATGACCAGCCGTTTAGAGATGGGCGAGTCCTGATTCATCCGGATCATTAACCCGGATCCTAGAAATGAGCTGGTCGTGACGAGTCTCCCCTCTCCATTAACCCGAGTCCTTGAGTCCCACACTTGGTGTGACGTACAAATTAAAACTATAAATTGCGTCACTCGCTACTCTCTTTATAACATGTAAAATCACATTACAACGTACCCCAGTCCATCTGCCTACCCTTTAGCAAGTATACAGGATAGCTGCCAGAAGTGATCGTTTGGCTCAGGGGAGGGGACGCGGATCAGTGAAACTTCCTGCAGACTCGTGGGGACTCAGAGGAGCCGACGGCTCCTAACCGTAATAGCATAGCAGATCCAGCAATCCATACTCGTCATGTGCACGAGCATAGCCCCTCCTCCAGCACCCGGCTCCCGCGCTATCAACAGCAGACTCGCAGTTAACAGCAGACTCGCAGATTCGCAGATTCGCAAATCCTGACTCGCTGCAACACACAGCAGAGCAGACTCGTGCGGACTCAGAGCCGTATATAGCAGCAGATCCAGAGATCCAGCAGACTCGTCCTCATGCACGAGTCAACAGCAGACTCAGATTCGCCAAATCGCAAAATAACCCTTTTTTTTGTGATCAACCTTTTTTATTAAAGCAAAATACACTATGTAGCGGAGGTTAATATAACGTCAGTTTAATAGATAGATAGATAGATAGTACTTTATTGATCCCAAATTGGGAAATTGTTGTTGTTACAGCAGCATAAAAGGCATTTTACAATAAAACAAAACTACAAAATATACAAGAGAAATAAAAATAAAATAAAATATAAAATATACATGTCGAAATAGAAAATATACATGCAGATATTATATATATATATATATATATACAAATATATATATATATATTCAAAATATATGGAATAATAATATGCTCGTGAAATGCAACAACTTTTCGGTTTCACCGATAGGATTTCTACGTCTTGGTGATGCTGACTCATATGACTCAAATGACTCGTATGATCCGGATCTCTTCAATGACTGACTCAGAAGACCCTGAGTCCGTAAAAGGATCCGGATTTGCCATCTCTACAGCCGTTATCTGTGGTGGAGAACGTGAGGTTTAAGGGACAACTTGAATGCTTTTTTCCTTTTTTTGCATTGCATAAAGATCGGATCGGGAAAAATCGGTATCGGCAGATTGTCAAAATCAAATGATCGGAATCGGATCGGGAGCAAAAAAAGGTGATCGGGACATCCCTAATAATGATTGTTTCAGATCTTGTACTTGCGTAAAAGTAGAAGTACTCAGATCTTGTACTTGAGTAAAAGTAGAAGTACTCAGATCCTGTACTTGAGTAAAAGTAGAAGTACTCAGATCTAGTACTTGAGTAAAAGTAGAAGTACTCAGGTCCTGTACTTGAGTAAAAGTAGAAGTACTCAGATCCTGTACTTAAGTAAAAGTAGAAGTACTCAGATCTTGTACTTAGTAAAAGTAGAAGTACTCAGATCTTGTACTTAGTAAAAGTAGAAGTACTCAGATCTTGTACTTGAGTAAAAGTAGAAGTACTCAGATCTTGTACTTGAGTAAAAGTAGAAGTACTCAGATCTTGTACTTAGTAAAAGTAGAAGTACTCAGATACCAGAGTGTAGGAATACTCTGTTACAGTAAAAGTCCTGCATTCAAAATGTTCCTCAAGTGAAAGTAGAAAAGTATTATCATCAAAATATAGTTAAAGTAGCGACAGTAAAAGTAGTCATTGTGCAGATTGGTCCATTTCAGAATAATATATATGATATGTTTTATAATGATTGATCATGAAAGTGTTCTCAAAGCTGGTAAAGGTGCAGCTAGTTTGAATGACTTTGTATACTGCAGGGTAGCTTGTGGATTTACTCCAGGTGGAACTAAAGTCTGATTTAACCCTTGATTATATTTCACATCATTCATCCACATCTGTAAAGTAACTAAAGGTATTAAATACATGTAGTGGAGTAAAAGTACACCATTTACCTCTGAATTGTAGTGGGGTAGAAGTAGAAAGTAGCGTACAATGGAAATACTCAAGTAAAGTTGTACCTCAAAATTGTACTTACTGTACTACTTCTCTACTCAGTATATCACTTAGATTTGGTCCACATTGACACATTACAATACTAAAAGCTATTCCACGTATAAAACAGGGGGAAATAATAACCATAATAATATAATATTGTGAAAAGAAAATTGCATAATGAGTACTTTTACATATTGTACATTTAGCTGATAATACTTCTGTAGTTTGTTATTCTGAAATGGGTCATATTGCAGAGTACTTTCTACATTATGTACTTTAATTTATCCTGATACTTTTTTACTTTTAGTCGTATTTTTTAAATCAGGACTTAAATACTTTGTGGAGTATTTTAAGACCAAAGTATTTGTATTTATAATTAAGTAAAGAACACTGCTTCCCAGAGGATACATCTTCCGGCTTTAGTTAATCTGAGCAAAGACTGCAAACTAACTTCCGGAAAACTTAAATACACGTTTTCCTTGTTGTTGTTGAAGTCCTTACTTTTTAAACGAGTTCACCTGTCGCCATTTTGAAACGTCGGTTCGTCCTTATCTTCCCGGAGGAGAGGTTATTTGTGAAGATTTCAGTCTCTGTTCTGACTGACAGTGATGGCTATGAGGGGAGAATATATCAGAAACACCTGAGGCCTTCAACTAGAACAAAACAATCCCAGGTAATCCCACGAAATATAAACCAAATGTACCTGGTTACTACGGGAAAGACCAAAGTCGTCATAGCAACAGCTGCTATGGCTGAGTAGAATACACAAGTTACAATTAAAATATCAGATTGACAGTAAATATATATATATATATATATAAATAAACATGCATATATAATACAATTATACACTATTGACTCTTATTTATCGGGCTGTGATTGTGGTGATTTTGCTTGAGTCCTCCAAGTGCTTACGGCTATATCACTACTAATAAAGAGACAATTTATCCCTGTATAATTAGAATTTATAATATGCGTTTTACACCATAGTATAGCCTATTATATAAATATACACACTGTTTTGCTCGCATTCGTGTCCTCCCTACGCTGTGTATTTTATATGATAGATATATACTTTATAGATAGATATATAGCCTACTTTATTAATCCCAAATTGGGAAATTCTAAATTTAGGATAACAGTAGTTAATGAAATAAAACTCATTGGTGTGTTTATCCTATGCCGAATTATGCAGTTTACACGCTGGATTAAGAAAGCACTGTTTTAATATTTGTGGGGGTGAGAACTTTTTATAAAAAAGAGAAACAAATGTAAAAAGTGAGATTTTATTAATGGACTTTGGTTTGGCGATTCCCGACCACACAGTATTACTGCATGTTTTGTGGATGTATTACTGTTGAAATAATGCATAATGCACATGAACTACATTTGAATATCATAGGTTGCTTCTTTTGTTTTATACAGTATTTTGTGTTTTTTCTTGCATGTTCTTCAGAGACCAGCGACAGCAGCTCCTTTCTGCACACACTGGTCTCAGGCTGACACCTGGTGGTGAGTTTGTGAAACTGCACTAGCATTTTTTGAATGTAAACAGGAAGTAGCAGAAAGCAGGAACTATAACATTTTAGAGTTTATTCACTTAAATAAAAGTCAGATCAGTTGTACAAACATGTTTTGGGAATGTTTTCAGGAACCTTGTTAGTTAAACTGTAAATGTGTACATATGTCCTGTCTGTATGTGTTTCAGTGTACTCCATTCAAGGCAGATGTTGTCATGCAGACCAAAGACCTCTTCCTATTCCCTTCTAAAGCCTCTAAAATAATGAAGCTGTGCTACAACATGATCCAATACATGAAGCTTCAGCTGTATCCTCCACATTGTTCCTTCTTCTTCTTCTTCTTCTTCTTCTTCTTCTACTCCTGCTTGATTTCTTTACACACAGCTTCTGTTTTCAGGCTTGTTTCTGGTTGTGAAATTCACCCAAACTGTGTCTCTCTTTCCGCTCAGGCTTGATCTAACAGCAGCTCAGCAGCTCCAGGAGTCCACTGCCTGACGCCTGGAGCTGAAATCCTCCGTCTGTGTGGATCAGAGGAGGTTGTTGCTGCCGTGAACGTCTGAGTGGAAGAACAGAAGACATGTGGGTGTCCGTGTGCCTCCCCCACCCCCGTGTGCCTCCCCCACCCCCGTCTGCCTCTGTGGAATGAATGGAGGAGGAGGAGGGGTGAGTAGATCTGGCTGTGTGACGTGAAAGCGCTCTGCATAAAGTTCCCATGAGCCCTAGCAGTTCCTCAACAGGTCAGACTGGACCTAACGTGGGTCAGAGCCGGTCCTGAGGAGTCTTTTAAGGTGTCAGACTCACAGCATTAGCATTCAGACCTCCACATGCTGTGTTTCATGCCCTTTTAAAGCCATTTAAAGCCAGTGTTTTGCTCCTTTTTAGCTGTATGTGTTCTGCTACCCCAAGACAAGGCTCTTCATGCTCAAAGACCTATATTAACCCCTCAGATACAGGTTGTTATTGTGTTACTTCGGTAGCACATATACTAAAATTGGAACGATACAGAGAAGATTAGCATGGCCCCTGCGCAAAGGATACTGCCCATTCTTCTCTACGAAGCAGGGGGGCAAGGAGAGGAAAGGGGGCCCAAAAAGTGAAAAAAAAAAAAAAAATGTGGGGAGCGGAAGGTCCGCGGTTCGATCCCCAGCTGTGGCAGAGATGAGGAAGAGCTGAAGAGATGATGACAGCCAGCACTGACTGACACATAGTGACTCTAAAACAGGGGGTTTAAATTAAAGGGTTTAAATTGTAAATATATAAATGTATATTCTGTGAGAAATTCACAAATTTCTCACAGACTGAGCAGCCAAAGGGTTTCTCTCCTGTGTGGATTTAGATCTCTTCTATCTAAAAGCTTTCTTACAGACTGAGCAGCTGAGTGGTTTCTTTCCAGCACTACGTCGTGGATCACTGACAGATTCTTGTCTATTTTTCAGTGACTTTGAGCCTGAGGCAGGTTCTCTGGTCTCCTTCCAATCAGCACTGTGTTCAGCGTCAGAAGAGTCTCCAGTGTCGTCCTCAGTCTTTGGTTGTAAACTGCTCTCTGGATCTGAGTTCGAGGAGGAGGAGGAGGGGCAGCCATGAGAGCCAGCACTGACTGACACATAGTGACTCTGAAACAGGGGGTTTTGGTAAATGATGATGATTGTAATAAACTACAAATACTACGGTATACCATCTCATCATCTCTACTGTGCTTATTTATGCACCATGTTGTGTTTTATGGACCCGTGTTGCAGTGAAATATCAGACGTTGTGTAATGAATTCTAAATAAAGTTTCCACACAAAGTTCAGTTCAGAGTTTTATTTTAAAATAGAGATTCAAATATATACAGATAAAAGAGAATTAAAGAAAAAAGTGCTATCCTTCCCCCCCCCCCTCTGGGTCCCTTTTGAGTCTTTTCATCTCCCGCCATTCCTCCACAGTTTTCCCACCGGCAGCCGCACAGTAAGACACACCTGCAATGCGAGTGTGGCCAGTGTCGATCCTCTTGGCCTGGCCACACTTGCTGCAGGTGTACGGACCTCTCTGCTGGGGGGCTTTCCTCCCGGGCTGCGGCCCACCCCTTGCAGCATCAGCCTCCGCCGCCTTCCTCTTCCTGTAGGCCGTTGTCCTGGGCACATGAAGAGGAGGAGGCTGAGCAGCAGGGGCAGCCGTGAGAGGGACAGCCGGGACCAGTGTCTGAAGAGGAGGAGGGGGAGGAGGAGGGGGGATGTGGCCAGATGAGGCAGGCAGACCCACCCCTGAAGGTCCCGGCACCTCCGGGATGTTGTAATTGAAGGGCTGTCCTTGTCCCACCTGTACAAAGGACAGCCCTTTCGCTGGCAGGAGAGGCTGGACAGCCACAGCTACTGCAGGGACGACGCCAGTTCCCTGCAGTAGCACAGACACCCCCCTCTCTTTCTGGCGCCGAGAGAACCTGTAAGACAAACCCAGGCAGATTTTGTTACGGAAAGAGAAACCCCAGTACGGATTAGAAAACCACCAACAAAGCTGCAGGTTAAACTCACCACTGGGACAGGGTCCTCTGGTTGAGCTCAAAGAGCTGTATTTCGGTCTGAGCCATCAACCTCGGGCTGGCCAGCACTGCCTCTCTAACGGCCACGTAGTCCGTGAGGATGAGGGACCACCGAGTCCTCGTGATCCCTCCGAACCGCGTGGCCGCGGGGTGGAGACGGCAGAGCTGGCTGCAAATGGCCTCTACCAGGCGGCTGGCGCTGGGCCATGTTGCAGGGCCCGAGTTCAGCCCGAGAAGACAGCTGAGTCACGGAGAGGACAGTGAGGGTTAATACGCAGCAAATATTTAGTACAGGAAAAAGGAGTATTTGAAGCGAGTCTTACCGTTGGAGACTCTCCTTCCCAGGACAGGAGGTGTTCTTCCCCTTCGCTGTCTTGAACCGCCCCTTCAGCTGCCTCTCCCGGTGTCTGGGAGGGTAGACGACTCGTCGCCTGTCCGGCTCGGGCAGGCGTTGCCAGAGGGCCATGAGTTTGTCCACCCTCTTGTCAGAAAGCCCCTGAAGGCTCCTGGCTTCCAGCAGGGCCTTGGCCAGCTTCAGGACATGTTGGTATCCTGGCTGGCCATCAGGACCCTGCATCTCCTCCTGAGGAGAAAAGGAAGGAAGGAGGGAGGGAGGGAGGGAGGGAGGGAGGGAGGAAGAGAGAAGTGCTGCTGTGGAGTCTTGAATACATATTATTATTATTATCATTATTACTATTATTATCATTATTACTGTTATTATTATTATTATTATTATCATTATTATCATTATCAGTAGTAGTAGCAGTGTGTTAGTGAACTTACCTCAGAGTCTGAGGAGGACTGCTGAGCAGGAGCCTCAGGGGCCTCGGGAGGGTCAGGTTGGTGAGGGGCGGCCGGGCCGGATGGCTCAGACCTGGGTGCGTCAGCCGGATCACCCGACTGGGCTGCTGTGCCGGTGGAGGGGGTATCTGGCTGGAAGACGGTCGGGTCCTCCACGTCTTCCTCGATACCCTCGTCCACCTCCTCCAGCGACTGGATGGCAGCAGCCTCGTCCGGAATGTCGGGGTCCAAGCTGACGTCCTCAAGCACTTTGCCTGTCTGCCTGTACAGGAACTCCACCCCGATGAGCTCCCCTGTCACGCGGCAAAAAGACAGGAAGCAAAGGATTTGCAAAATGCTCCTTTTCCTCACAGTTCTGATGTCTGAATAAAGCGAATAGGGTTTTCACATCACCCACCTGTGTACTCGACAGGCTTGGTGAAGTCCTTAACCAGCTGACGGCCAAGCACCCTTTGGCTCTTCTGGTTAAGGACGTGCTTGAGGTGGCCACTGTAGGAGTGCAGAGGCTCCACCTCTCCCGCAGCTGCCGCTGCGCGGTCCTCATTCCACCTCACCAGTCCATCGACCAGGAACGCCTGGAAGTGCTTGGCACTCGCCTGGGTCCCTGAGGAAGCAGGTATCAGATCAGAAATGAATTGACATTTGCGTGAAATGTGAATACATGATAGACTTTATCACAAGCTGTACCTGGGATGAACCGGTTGAGGTGGAGGTGGAAGGACTCCAAAGATGTGGAGCCCCTCGCGCAGCGATAGACCGGCAGGATGACTCCGCCCTTTGTCAGCCTGCCGGTCTGCGTGTAGAGCTGCACGCCAGGTGGGTCCTGTATGCAGCTGAGGTGGGGCCTCTGCGTACTCCATATGTCCTGGATGCGGAGAGGGTCAAGCAACGGGATGTCCAGGTTGTCGCGTCCTGCCGTACCGCCGAAGGTTTGGAGGAGGTCCTGGATCAGGAGCGCCGTCTCCTCCGCCCCACGCGTCCGACGACGGCAGTGGAGCCTCCATTCCTCCCTGGTGATCTTCTGGATCACCTCGGCGTCGGTCAGGCCGACCATCCCGTGCTTCCCCTCCAGCTGGGACCGCTTGGCTTCAGTGAGACGGCGGGCATCTCCGGGGTCCACCTCGAAGATGCACAGAGACAGCTGCCTCATGAAAGCGGGGTACAGCTCGTGGCTCTCTGTGGTGACACCTGCTGCGAAACGTCGCATCAGGTGCCAGATGTCTAGTCTCACCACAAGCTGTCCCCACTCCTGTGAAAAGGAAACAAAAGTCTGTCTGATTATTGGAGTACAATTTTTCTCAAATACTGTTTTTATGATGTTGTAATTATCTTGAACAACACCTAGCGTGGCTTTGGTCAATGGTCATTTAGTGTAAGATAAATAATATTGCTATAATTCTACTATGATTATCAGTACTAGTATTGACAGGCCAGACCTGAAACAAGGCAGCTGTCTTTGACACGCCGTCTCTGTTGCAGCAGTCCCGATCCACGTAGATCAGCTGGGGGGGTGGTACCTCGGCGAGTCGGTACCGCCTCATCAGTCCGGCCGCCATACTGGACAGGCCCTCGGCGCCCTCGGAGCAGGTGAGAACGCTGATGAGGACCTGCCCGTATTCGTTACCAACGTTGGTAACCCAGGCGGCCGTGTCGAAAGCGGTACCGGCGAGCTTCTTCGTCACCTGGACACACAGAGAGAGAGAGAGAGAGAGAGAGAGAGATATTTCAAATGTGAGTGCATAAACACACGGCGGCTGTAAAAAAAAAATGAAATTGTGACAAACTATACTGACCTTCTTGGTGGAATCCATCTTAAGGATGGATCCGAAGGTGGACGTGATCCTGGCCTTGTACTCATCCAGCCGCGTCATTATATCATATCCGTAGACTGTCAGCAGCCAGATGGGTGAGGGCAGAGTGGGCATTTGGGGCGGTGGTGGAAACTGCCCCCTCACGCTGCACAAGGCCAGGAACTGCTCGCACACGCCGAGGTACTGGATCGCTCTCCGCATCCAGGCGTCCGAGTGCTGCTCCCGCAGGGTGTTGCACAGCTGAGTGGCACTGTTGCCCAGAGTGCGGGACTTCAGCTGTGTAACCACCCTATGGTCACAGGACAGCCTGCAGAAACACAAAACAAGCATTATATACAGCTCCGGCATCACATTCATTGCATTTATTTATATATACGGTATGTTGTCAATTCCTCTCACTTGTACGTAAGTACTGCTGGAAACTGGCAGCTGTAGGTGGGGGCCAGCTGCCTGATGATGCCCTGTGACCACCCGCCGACCTTCTTCTTGCATCGACGGCACTCCAGGTACTCAGTGGCCATGAGATACCAGCCGTCGATGTCCAGGACCCTCCGGATGGTCCTGTACAGCCCAGCCTTCACCATGGACCCGGTGCATGAAGGCTGGGGGCATGTCAGCTGCAGACGCCAGATCCGGTGTGGCATCCAAAGAAACAGCCGACATGCAAAGAAGGGGTCGGGGGACGCGGGAGGCTGGTGGTAGATCGGCCGGGATTGGGGGGGGCTCCACCACAGATTCAAGTCTGTGATGAGGCTCGGCCTCCCCGACTGGTCCCTGGTGAACAGCACCCGACCGATCCATTGCTGCTGCTCTGCAGTGAGAGCTGCCCGCCATGACTCGGGCAGCAGCTGGAGAGAGAACCAGAAGAACGTAAAAGGCACTTATATCTGAGGACATCGCTCCAGGGCAGCAGATGAGCAGCGTTTACTTTGACAGACAGTCTTACCTCACGTGGCGGAAGAGGGAGGAAGGCTGGCCCTGGCAGCTCCTCCTGTCCGGGAGCAGCAGCACCGGGGGCTGCGGGCGGCGGTGGCGAGGAGGGAGCTGGTGACTCTGCAGGCTGGACTCCTGCTGGAGGTCGCAGGAGGTGGTGTTGTTCCTGCGTGGCCTCCAGCAGCTCCTCGTCCGTGGGCTCGACAGAGACACCAGCCCCCTTGTGTGGTGCGGAGGAGGAGGTGGCGGGAGGTGGATGGAACGAGAGAGGGGCCTGTACATCTGAGGCTTAAAGATAAATCAAACTCAACTTTATGTCAATCTCAAAATATGTTTGTACCCACAGAAAGATTGAAATACTGTTTCCCACAGTCCCGAGGTATAAAAAAGACACAAATGTTTAATTAACATGAAAGAATAAGATGTTAGTTGTGTTGTGTTAATATTGAGCCACAGAAAACGAAAACCTAGTGGAGCACAGAAGGTTGCTTAAAGAGAGAAAGTGACGACGAGACAAAACAACGACACCAGATTTGACTTGTTGAGGGAGCGATGCAGGCAGCGAGCGGTTGGAGGGGTTACACGGGTTTACGAGGGAGAGGATGATGAGCTTACTCTACATCTACAAGCACTCGTTAGTGATGATTTGACAGGCGATTGGTCGGCGTGAAGCTTGGTGATTTGAGACTTGCAAAAGGCGAATAGTTTTTCATTAAAGCAAACTTACCTGCCAGGTCATATCCTTCTGAATACGGACATATTTATAGAGCAAAATAAAGGGAGAAGGGTCAAAAATGAAGTCAAACTTTCAGTTATCAACAACATGTTGCATGAATGCTACTTCGGTTTTTACTTACACTCCTCCATGTCAACTACCGCCCTGATCAGCTCTTCATCGGAAGGCTCCTCCGATGGCTTGGAGGGAAGAGCTGATCTGAGGGAGGCTGTAATTGCAACGTGAGTGAGAAGAAAATATACAGTGAACATGAGAAATACAAATAGGGTTAAACTGTGCATTTCATTTAGGCTGGACTTGCCTGGAAATGCAGGCTTAGGGACCACCAGCTTCTTGATCTGTGCCTGCATTTCCACGGCAGACAGAGAACGCCGCCCGGACACGAAGGCCGCGAACGCTGAAGCAGGCCTATGAGACAGAACAACATCTAGAATGCACAGCATGAAAAACACCAACGTGTCTTCAGAAAGGTCATCCAGGTACGTCAAACTCAGACAGCTTTAAAATAAGACACGTACTTTGATGTAGTCCACACTCTCTGGCCAGAGACAGACAGAGACCTGCTGCTGCTGGTTCTGCTGCTGGTGGCGGTGCTGCAGCTGCTGCTGCTGCTGCTGGTGGATGCAGATGCAGCAGCAGCAGCAGCAGCAGCAGCAGCAGCAGCAGAACCAGCAGCAGCAGCAGAACCAGCAGCAGCAGCAGGTCTCTGTCTGTCTCGGCTCTTCGTGTAGCGGACGGCGTTCTCCATCTGCGTGCCGGGTGTGGGAATCTTCCTCCGGAGGTAGTTGACAAATCTACAAAAATCAGACAATTTGTCACGTGATTCTTATCAACCGAATTAGAATCCACATGTATATATAAATAGAGAGATAATACGACCTACCGGATTTTTTGGGGGTCCAGAGAGTTGTACAGGCCGTCCAGGGTCTCAAATTTAAAGTCCCCGAAGCCAACAAGGGCCTGTCCCTCCTGACCAGGCAGGAGGGACTTTGCCCGCGCCTCCTCAAACGCCCGGTGGAACCTGACTGCCTCCACAAAGTCAGGGTACGCTGAGGAGTAGCGGGTGAAGGCGTCCTGTAAATTCACAAATAAGGTTAAAACTGTTGTCACTCTTTTAATGGTATTGTGAATCAGACTGAAGGACTCCACCTTGTTGGCCATCAGCGGAGACTGAGACCCTGTCCTCTCTCGCTCCTTCTGGTGGGAGGCGACCAGATTGACGGCGTAGCCCACGTCGTTCTCCAGGAGCCAGTGGAAGATCTTTCCCTGGTACTGGCCGAACTGGACCTTCCACCGGCTCAGGACGAGGGTGGCGTTGTCGGTGGAGCCACCCTCGGAGGAGACGTGGGCCCAGGCCTCCGCGTCCACCTCCTCTGGCTTCTTTGCCCTGTATGGGGCTTGGCCGGCTGCTCGCCGGGGGGCGAGGGCGCTGGCTTCGGCCGTGGCCTTCAAAAAGAGGGTCCCATTAGGTGCCCTTCTAAATTCTGGGTTTTCCATCTACACAGAGTTGGACTCAGTTAGACCACTACCACAAATACAATGAAGTACTTTACTGTAGGCTACTATGAAGTAATTTTACTGTGTACTTTTTCAGTTATTCTCTGTCAAACTCCTGTGGCAGAAAATCCTTTTATCGCTCATCAAATATGGCAGAAAACATGCGGATTAACAGAGGATTAAAACTGTAATCAGAGCCCTCTCATCTGAGCTCCGTTACACACACACAGGAGCGGGACATCCTCCTCAACCTGTCCGCCATAAATGCCTCAGAGGACGGATACCTGAACCGTAGCGTCCAGCTAGCTTAGCCGCTAGCTAAAGGTAAACACACACAGCAGTGCATCAGCGGTTCACAAAGTACCGCACAAACACCACGGTTAACTCAGTATGACTAATCTCGGACATAGAAGTGCGTTTGTAACAGTGTTTACACCCGTATTTGCTAATAATTAATGCACATTTTACTCACAGTGTCGCTTTGTTGAAGTCAGTCAGTGTGAAAAAACAATGGCGGACGGAGGCGAGATTGCTGAGAATTATGGAACAAATCCGCCTCACCGATTGGACGCCAAAAGCCCCAAAAGTTTGATTCTCTCTTATGGAACATATCCGGCCTCCCTATTGGGCGAGTTATGGAACAAGCCTGGACAGCCATTGGTCAGAAATTGGAACATTGGAACAGAGAAGAACATCTCACCGGTAGCTTCGAGGATACTGCCCATTCTTCTCTACGAAGCAGGGGGGCAAGGAGAGGAAAGGGGGCCCAAAAAGTGAAAAAAAAAAAAAAAATGTGGGGAGCGGAAGGTCCGCGGTTCGATCCCCAGCTGTGGCAGAGATGAGGAAGAGCTGAAGAGATGATGACAGCCAGCACTGACTGACACATAGTGACTCTAAAACAGGGGGTTTAAATTAAAGGGTTTAAATTGTAAATATATAAATGTATATTCTGTGAGAAATTCACAAATTTCTCACAGACTGAGCAGCCAAAGGGTTTCTCTCCTGTGTGGATTTAGATCTCTTCTATCTAAAAGCTTTCTTACAGACTGAGCAGCTGAGTGGTTTCTTTCCAGCACTACGTCGTGGATCACTGACAGATTCTTGTCTATTTTTCAGTGACTTTGAGCCTGAGGCAGGTTCTCTGGTCTCCTTCCAATCAGCACTGTGTTCAGCGTCAGAAGAGTCTCCAGTGTCGTCCTCAGTCTTTGGTTGTAAACTGCTCTCTGGATCTGAGTTCGAGGAGGAGGAGGAGGGGCAGCCATGAGAGCCAGCACTGACTGACACATAGTGACTCTGAAACAGGGGGTTTTGGTAAATGATGATGATTGTAATAAACTACAAATACTACGGTATACCATCTCATCATCTCTACTGTGCTTATTTATGCACCATGTTGTGTTTTATGGACCCGTGTTGCAGTGAAATATCAGACGTTGTGTAATGAATTCTAAATAAAGTTTCCACACAAAGTTCAGTTCAGAGTTTTATTTTAAAATAGAGATTCAAATATATACAGATAAAAGAGAATTAAAGAAAAAAGTGCTATCCTTCCCCCCCCCCCTCTGGGTCCCTTTTGAGTCTTTTCATCTCCCGCCATTCCTCCACAGTTTTCCCACCGGCAGCCGCACAGTAAGACACACCTGCAATGCGAGTGTGGCCAGTGTCGATCCTCTTGGCCTGGCCACACTTGCTGCAGGTGTACGGACCTCTCTGCTGGGGGGCTTTCCTCCCGGGCTGCGGCCCACCCCTTGCAGCATCAGCCTCCGCCGCCTTCCTCTTCCTGTAGGCCGTTGTCCTGGGCACATGAAGAGGAGGAGGCTGAGCAGCAGGGGCAGCCGTGAGAGGGACAGCCGGGACCAGTGTCTGAAGAGGAGGAGGGGGGAGGAGGAGGGGGGATGTGGCCAGATGAGGCAGGCAGACCCACCCCTGAAGGTCCCGGCACCTCCGGGATGTTGTAATTGAAGGGCTGTCCTTGTCCCACCTGTACAAAGGACAGCCCTTTCGCTGGCAGGAGAGGCTGGACAGCCACAGCTACTGCAGGGACGACGCCAGTTCCCTGCAGTAGCACAGACACCCCCCTCTCTTTCTGGCGCCGAGAGAACCTGTAAGACAAACCCAGGCAGATTTTGTTACGGAAAGAGAAACCCCAGTACGGATTAGAAAACCACCAACAAAGCTGCAGGTTAAACTCACCACTGGGACAGGGTCCTCTGGTTGAGCTCAAAGAGCTGTATTTCGGTCTGAGCCATCAACCTCGGGCTGGCCAGCACTGCCTCTCTAACGGCCACGTAGTCCGTGAGGATGAGGGACCACCGAGTCCTCGTGATCCCTCCGAACCGCGTGGCCGCGGGGTGGAGACGGCAGAGCTGGCTGCAAATGGCCTCTACCAGGCGGCTGGCGCTGGGCCATGTTGCAGGGCCCGAGTTCAGCCCGAGAAGACAGCTGAGTCACGGAGAGGACAGTGAGGGTTAATACGCAGCAAATATTTAGTACAGGAAAAAGGAGTATTTGAAGCGAGTCTTACCGTTGGAGACTCTCCTTCCCAGGACAGGAGGTGTTCTTCCCCTTCGCTGTCTTGAACCGCCCCTTCAGCTGCCTCTCCCGGTGTCTGGGAGGGTAGACGACTCGTCGCCTGTCCGGCTCGGGCAGGCGTTGCCAGAGGGCCATGAGTTTGTCCACCCTCTTGTCAGAAAGCCCCTGAAGGCTCCTGGCTTCCAGCAGGGCCTTGGCCAGCTTCAGGACATGTTGGTATCCTGGCTGGCCATCAGGACCCTGCATCTCCTCCTGAGGAGAAAAGGAAGGAAGGAGGGAGGGAGGGAGGGGAGGGAGGGAGGGAGGAAGAGAGAAGTGCTGCTGTGGAGTCTTGAATACATATTATTATTATTATCATTATTACTATTATTATCATTATTACTGTTATTATTATTATTATTATTATCATTATTATCATTATCAGTAGTAGTAGCAGTGTGTTAGTGAACTTACCTCAGAGTCTGAGGAGGACTGCTGAGCAGGAGCCTCAGGGGCCTCGGGAGGGTCAGGTTGGTGAGGGGCGGCCGGGCCGGATGGCTCAGACCTGGGTGCGTCAGCCGGATCACCCGACTGGGCTGCTGTGCCGGTGGAGGGGGTATCTGGCTGGAAGACGGTCGGGTCCTCCACGTCTTCCTCGATACCCTCGTCCACCTCCTCCAGCGACTGGATGGCAGCAGCCTCGTCCGGAATGTCGGGGTCCAAGCTGACGTCCTCAAGCACTTTGCCTGTCTGCCTGTACAGGAACTCCACCCCGATGAGCTCCCCTGTCACGCGGCAAAAAGACAGGAAGCAAAGGATTTGCAAAATGCTCCTTTTCCTCACAGTTCTGATGTCTGAATAAAGCGAATAGGGTTTTCACATCACCCACCTGTGTACTCGACAGGCTTGGTGAAGTCCTTAACCAGCTGACGGCCAAGCACCCTTTGGCTCTTCTGGTTAAGGACGTGCTTGAGGTGGCCACTGTAGGAGTGCAGAGGCTCCACCTCTCCCGCAGCTGCCGCTGCGCGGTCCTCATTCCACCTCACCAGTCCATCGACCAGGAACGCCTGGAAGTGCTTGGCACTCGCCTGGGTCCCTGAGGAAGCAGGTATCAGATCAGAAATGAATTGACATTTGCGTGAAATGTGAATACATGATAGACTTTATCACAAGCTGTACCTGGGATGAACCGGTTGAGGTGGAGGTGGAAGGACTCCAAAGATGTGGAGCCCCTCGCGCAGCGATAGACCGGCAGGATGACTCCGCCCTTTGTCAGCCTGCCGGTCTGCGTGTAGAGCTGCACGCCAGGTGGGTCCTGTATGCAGCTGAGGTGGGGCCTCTGCGTACTCCATATGTCCTGGATGCGGAGAGGGTCAAGCAACGGGATGTCCAGGTTGTCGCGTCCTGCCGTACCGCCGAAGGTTTGGAGGAGGTCCTGGATCAGGAGCGCCGTCTCCTCCGCCCCACGCGTCCGACGACGGCAGTGGAGCCTCCATTCCTCCCTGGTGATCTTCTGGATCACCTCGGCGTCGGTCAGGCCGACCATCCCGTGCTTCCCCTCCAGCTGGGACCGCTTGGCTTCAGTGAGACGGCGGGCATCTCCGGGGTCCACCTCGAAGATGCACAGAGACAGCTGCCTCATGAAAGCGGGGTACAGCTCGTGGCTCTCTGTGGTGACACCTGCTGCGAAACGTCGCATCAGGTGCCAGATGTCTAGTCTCACCACAAGCTGTCCCCACTCCTGTGAAAAGGAAACAAAAGTCTGTCTGATTATTGGAGTACAATTTTTCTCAAATACTGTTTTTATGATGTTGTAATTATCTTGAACAACACCTAGCGTGGCTTTGGTCAATGGTCATTTAGTGTAAGATAAATAATATTGCTATAATTCTACTATGATTATCAGTACTAGTATTGACAGGCCAGACCTGAAACAAGGCAGCTGTCTTTGACACGCCGTCTCTGTTGCAGCAGTCCCGATCCACGTAGATCAGCTGGGGGGGTGGTACCATCGGCGAGTCGGTACCGCCTCATCAGTCCGGCCGCCATACTGGACAGGCCCTCGGCGCCCTCGGAGCAGGTGAGAACGCTGATGAGGACCTGCCCGTATTCGTTACCAACGTTGGTAACCCAGGCGGCCGTGTCGAAAGCGGTACCGGCGAGCTTCTTCGTCACCTGGACACACAGAGAGAGAGAGAGAGAGAGAGAGAGAGATATTTCAAATGTGAGTGCATAAACACACGGCGGCTGTAAAAAAAAAATGAAATTGTGACAAACTATACTGACCTTCTTGGTGGAATCCATCTTAAGGATGGATCCGAAGGTGGACGTGATCCTGGCCTTGTACTCATCCAGCCGCGTCATTATATCATATCCGTAGACTGTCAGCAGCCAGATGGGTGAGGGCAGAGTGGGCATTTGGGGCGGTGGTGGAAACTGCCCCCTCACGCTGCACAAGGCCAGGAACTGCTCGCACACGCCGAGGTACTGGATCGCTCTCCGCATCCAGGCGTCCGAGTGCTGCTCCCGCAGGGTGTTGCACAGCTGAGTGGCACTGTTGCCCAGAGTGCGGGACTTCAGCTGTGTAACCACCCTATGGTCACAGGACAGCCTGCAGAAACACAAAACAAGCATTATATACAGCTCCGGCATCACATTCATTGCATTTATTTATATATACGGTATGTTGTCAATTCCTCTCACTTGTACGTAAGTACTGCTGGAAACTGGCAGCTGTAGGTGGGGGCCAGCTGCCTGATGATGCCCTGTGACCACCCGCCGACCTTCTTCTTGCATCGACGGCACTCCAGGTACTCAGTGGCCATGAGATACCAGCCGTCGATGTCCAGGACCCTCCGGATGGTCCTGTACAGCCCAGCCTTCACCATGGACCCGGTGCATGAAGGCTGGGGGCATGTCAGCTGCAGACGCCAGATCCGGTGTGGCATCCAAAGAAACAGCCGACATGCAAAGAAGGGGTCGGGGGACGCGGGAGGCTGGTGGTAGATCGGCCGGGATTGGGGGGGGCTCCACCACAGATTCAAGTCTGTGATGAGGCTCGGCCTCCCCGACTGGTCCCTGGTGAACAGCACCCGACCGATCCATTGCTGCTGCTCTGCAGTGAGAGCTGCCCGCCATGACTCGGGCAGCAGCTGGAGAGAGAACCAGAAGAACGTAAAAGGCACTTATATCTGAGGACATCGCTCCAGGGCAGCAGATGAGCAGCGTTTACTTTGACAGACAGTCTTACCTCACGTGGCGGAAGAGGGAGGAAGGCTGGCCCTGGCAGCTCCTCCTGTCCGGGAGCAGCAGCACCGGGGGCTGCGGGCGGCGGTGGCGAGGAGGGAGCTGGTGACTCTGCAGGCTGGACTCCTGCTGGAGGTCGCAGGAGGTGGTGTTGTTCCTGCGTGGCCTCCAGCAGCTCCTCGTCCGTGGGCTCGACAGAGACACCAGCCCCCTTGTGTGGTGCGGAGGAGGAGGGTGGCGGGAGGTGGATGGAACGAGAGAGGGGCCTGTACATCTGAGGCTTAAAGATAAATCAAACTCAACTTTATGTCAATCTCAAAATATGTTTGTACCCACAGAAAGATTGAAATACTGTTTCCCACAGTCCCGAGGTATAAAAAAGACACAAATGTTTAATTAACATGAAAGAATAAGATGTTAGTTGTGTTGTGTTAATATTGAGCCACAGAAAACGAAAACCTAGTGGAGCACAGAAGGTTGCTTAAAGAGAGAAAGTGACGACGAGACAAAACAACGACACCAGATTTGACTTGTTGAGGGAGCGATGCAGGCAGCGAGCGGTTGGAGGGGTTACACGGGTTTACGAGGGAGAGGATGATGAGCTTACTCTACATCTACAAGCACTCGTTAGTGATGATTTGACAGGCGATTGGTCGGCGTGAAGCTTGGTGATTTGAGACTTGCAAAAGGCGAATAGTTTTTCATTAAAGCAAACTTACCTGCCAGGTCATATCCTTCTGAATACGGACATATTTATAGAGCAAAATAAAGGGAGAAGGGTCAAAAATGAAGTCAAACTTTCAGTTATCAACAACATGTTGCATGAATGCTACTTCGGTTTTTACTTACACTCCTCCATGTCAACTACCGCCCTGATCAGCTCTTCATCGGAAGGCTCCTCCGATGGCTTGGAGGGAAGAGCTGATCTGAGGGAGGCTGTAATTGCAACGTGAGTGAGAAGAAAATATACAGTGAACATGAGAAATACAAATAGGGTTAAACTGTGCATTTCATTTAGGCTGGACTTGCCTGGAAATGCAGGCTTAGGGACCACCAGCTTCTTGATCTGTGCCTGCATTTCCACGGCAGACAGAGAACGCCGCCCGGACACGAAGGCCGCGAACGCTGAAGCAGGCCTATGAGACAGAACAACATCTAGAATGCACAGCATGAAAAACACCAACGTGTCTTCAGAAAGGTCATCCAGGTACGTCAAACTCAGACAGCTTTAAAATAAGACACGTACTTTGATGTAGTCCACACTCTCTGGCCAGAGACAGACAGAGACCTGCTGCTGCTGGTTCTGCTGCTGGTGGCGGTGCTGCAGCTGCTGCTGCTGCTGCTGGTGGATGCAGATGCAGCAGCAGCAGCAGCAGCAGCAGCAGCAGCAGCAGAACCAGCAGCAGCAGCAGAACCAGCAGCAGCAGCAGGTCTCTGTCTGTCTCGGCTCTTCGTGTAGCGGACGGCGTTCTCCATCTGCGTGCCGGGTGTGGGAATCTTCCTCCGGAGGTAGTTGACAAATCTACAAAAATCAGACAATTTGTCACGTGATTCTTATCAACCGAATTAGAATCCACATGTATATATAAATAGAGAGATAATACGACCTACCGGATTTTTTGGGGGTCCAGAGAGTTGTACAGGCCGTCCAGGGTCTCAAATTTAAAGTCCCCGAAGCCAACAAGGGCCTGTCCCTCCTGACCAGGCAGGAGGGACTTTGCCCGCGCCTCCTCAAACGCCCGGTGGAACCTGACTGCCTCCACAAAGTCAGGGTACGCTGAGGAGTAGCGGGTGAAGGCGTCCTGTAAATTCACAAATAAGGTTAAAACTGTTGTCACTCTTTTAATGGTATTGTGAATCAGACTGAAGGACTCCACCTTGTTGGCCATCAGCGGAGACTGAGACCCTGTCCTCTCTCGCTCCTTCTGGTGGGAGGCGACCAGATTGACGGCGTAGCCCACGTCGTTCTCCAGGAGCCAGTGGAAGATCTTTCCCTGGTACTGGCCGAACTGGACCTTCCACCGGCTCAGGACGAGGGTGGCGTTGTCGGTGGAGCCACCCTCGGAGGAGACGTGGGCCCAGGCCTCCGCGTCCACCTCCTCTGGCTTCTTTGCCCTGTATGGGGCTTGGCCGGCTGCTCGCCGGGGGGCGAGGGCGCTGGCTTCGGCCGTGGCCTTCAAAAAGAGGGTCCCATTAGGTGCCCTTCTAAATTCTGGGTTTTCCATCTACACAGAGTTGGACTCAGTTAGACCACTACCACAAATACAATGAAGTACTTTACTGTAGGCTACTATGAAGTAATTTTACTGTGTACTTTTTCAGTTATTCTCTGTCAAACTCCTGTGGCAGAAAATCCTTTTATCGCTCATCAAATATGGCAGAAAACATGCGGATTAACAGAGGATTAAAACTGTAATCAGAGCCCTCTCATCTGAGCTCCGTTACACACACACAGGAGCGGGACATCCTCCTCAACCTGTCCGCCATAAATGCCTCAGAGGACGGATACCTGAACCGTAGCGTCCAGCTAGCTTAGCCGCTAGCTAAAGGTAAACACACACAGCAGTGCATCAGCGGTTCACAAAGTACCGCACAAACACCACGGTTAACTCAGTATGACTAATCTCGGACATAGAAGTGCGTTTGTAACAGTGTTTACACCCGTATTTGCTAATAATTAATGCACATTTTACTCACAGTGTCGCTTTGTTGAAGTCAGTCAGTGTGAAAAAACAATGGCGGACGGAGGCGAGATTGCTGAGAATTATGGAACAAATCCGCCTCACCGATTGGACGCCAAAAGCCCCAAAAGTTTGATTCTCTCTTATGGAACATATCCGGCCTCCCTATTGGGCGAGTTATGGAACAAGCCTGGACAGCCATTGGTCAGAAATTGGAACATTGGAACAGAGAAGAACATCTCACCGGTAGCTTCGTCTCCTCGGTGGTCATACCGGCGACTGTCCGTTAATTTACCGTTAATTAATCTAATGTAAGGACCCGGTGAATCCCAGTGCTGCACGTTGAAAGGTGGTCGTGATGTCTGTCTGTCATGGATGTATAATAAGAACGGCTGTCTGTCTGTAAGACAGGTGGTGCGTTCAATGCTGTGGGAAATATGGAAACTCGTGTTGACCGCACAATTTTAAAATATCAGTTTGAAGGCGAATCGAATTCATGGTTTCCCGTGAAAACAGAGTCCTAGCTTTACCTTTCCGAGTAGATGTGTACACGATGTTTTTTAAACAACACACTTAAATAAATACATGTAAGAAATAACTAGATTAAGTGAAGTTTGCGAGCAGAAACGTGAACCTCAACCTTTGAGTCTAAAGGAAACACTTAGATCTACACACCCGAGGACAATAAAGTCATAAAAGTCCATATTTGATCTTGTCTTGTTGTAGTTTTTAAGAGATAAAGAGATTGAAGGGAAAGCGTTGAACACAGTGAGAGGCTCCACTCGGCAGCTGCAATACCACCAGCGGCCATGGCGGCGCTGTGTCGCCTAAATCAAATCTTTGAAAAATCATATAAAATCATTAAAATATGATAAAATATGGCAATATAGAACGCTTCACGAATTTGCGTGTCATCCTTGCGCTACCGGTGAGCTGTTCTTCTCTGTTCCAATGTTCCAATTTTTGACCAATGGCTGTCCAGGCTTGGTTCCATATTTCGCCCAATAGGGAGGCCGGATATGTTCCATAAGAGAGAATCAAACTTTTGGGGCTTTTGGCGTCCAATCGGTGAGGCGGATTTGTTC